TGCACTAGGAACTTCATTTGTCATACTCGCCCAGAAAAACACACTAGTATGACTGAGTAAAAGTTTATTTAAAAACCATCAACAGCTCGATATTTAAACCATCTGGTCCAAACCGGCCACAAAGCCAACACTGAAGAATCCTGCTCTATCATTTACCGGACACCAAATAAATTGCCAAGAACATCGAGGTACCACATACTCCAAACATCAGAGGCTATTGCAATTCGCGTGAAACAACGAGTGTTTTGTGTGCATAAGAAGCAAGTTCAGCCAGCCACTCCTACTACCCAGGCTGCCATTCAACAGAAACTATAAATTCATGAATTTGTATTACTATCTTTCCTAATTTGTCTGTCTGATATTCAGTTAATAGTTATGTTGATGCTACTGAACTGTAGTTCACTGATAGTGATATTGATTCGATGGTATTTAAACAACATGAATGTTCTTAATAACACTAATTCATTCATTCACTATAAATGTATTTATAACTGTAGAGCCTGATGATGAAGTTACCGAAAAGAGTATTCTTTGTTCAATTACTATTCTTTTGAAAATCCAGAATAAATCCTAATTTTAGTATTCGTTTAATGCTATATGTCAGCTGATATTTCCCTAGAAAGACTTTTATTATAATTTAGTAAATTTTAATCCTTTTAATTACACAATCCTTAGCTTTATCTTCAAGAGTTATTCTAACAAGTCTGGAAAACCGGTTTTGTAGTGAAAAGCAGAGCCAAGGCACTTCATAACTTTCTTTGTTACTTGTGTGCAAGCAAAATGTGTTACAAAACATCTGCATACGTAAAAATTATAATGACCTCATGGAAGCCAATGATGAGATTGTTCATATCACGAATTATGAACAAATTGACTTGCTAGAGGACACAGTTTCCTGGAGTTCTAGTGAAAAGTCGTGACCATCGGGGTCCATCCAGTCAAGTGTAAGAATAAAATTCCCGACGATGACATTGGCTGGTCGTCGCGCTAAAATCACGAATTTGTGTGGAATTCATAGGCTGGCTATTGAACTGGGTCCCAGTGGCAGAATGGTTTGTGTCCTTGCCTTGTAACCGGAAGGTCCTGGATTCTAGCCCCAGTGGTCGCGTACTGCCTATGTGTCCCAAACTAGGATAAAACGGCTGTCAAGTACTCCAGTTCTGATTTTCAATGGTTCTCTAACTGATATCAATCCATGGTCAAACTTATATAAAGTAATTTTTAGTCACTATTACTACGACAAATTCCAAAAACTCAAACTTTAACTTTCTGTCTATACTCCAACTAATCTTCACTATTTTTGATTTTCTCCCTATTTGAATCAATCTCTGAGCTACGAAATTTAGAAAGCCTCATTAATTCCGCCTTATTAAATATAGTTTTAATTGTTCGCCAGCGTCTTCAGTTCGTAATTCCATGTTTTCACGCTTCTTTAAGAGAAAAATTTACTCATCAACCTACTAAGATGCACTGCTCGAAGACATTTAGGGAAAAAAACTGACGTAATAGCTAAGGGTATTATTTTAGATACCATACTAATTGGTATGAGTTTACTTGAGAACTCTGTACAATGATTAAATATTTGGGTGTAAAAATTTGCTGACGGTTGTGTTGCATTCAAAAGTATTCTCCAGAAGGTAGAATTTCTCACCAGCACTACAACAGTGGACAGACAAACACACGGCAGCTATCTCTTCTCTATTTTCGAACCATTTAGGTTCTTCTCCCCTTTGCTTTGTTTGCCTAGCAGTGAGGTGGGTTCACATGAACCAATTAAATGATGTAGTATACATCTGGATGCATTTTAATACATTTTTATAGGAAATCTCTAAAATTACAATGATAAACATGTCACCAGAATTAAAATTTTCTGACTCTTACATCTTGAAATAAGAAGAAACTAACAGGAAGCAAAGTGTATAACATTCATTGATGAATAATGTGTAACAATATGATAACAATATAATAACACTGTCAACTTTTTGTTATTATCCAGTTAAGCTACTTACGAGTAGGTAAAATTATTTTGCTAAATATTCTCCTATTAAAGTATCAGAAAATACGTAAGTTTGTAAGGATACCTAACAGAAATTGTATCGGTTTTATGTAGAAAGGTTATGTGGAATTCAAAGATCTAGCTTGGTAAATAAAAGTAACTCCAAAAAATAATTTAAAATAATTGAGTCCGCATGAAATAAAATGATAAATAAATACAATAATCTTAGTGATTCCGGAAACAGACAATTTTAGTAAATAAATTAGGTTAGAGAATGTTGTTATTGTTCTTTTTTCTCCAAAAAGTTTCATAAACTGACAATTTTTATATCCGCCTAGTCTGTTGTTTTAGTTGTCTCCAAGGTCACCAAAGCGGTTTTCAGGGTCATAAGCTCCAGAATAAAAAGGAAGTGTAAAGTAAAATAATAAATTAGAAATAACCAAAATTTAACATGCTTATATTATTTTCCGCTTATACAAGCCCTACTAAACAAATAAATGCACTACGGAATAACCCTGTTCTCTAGCCTTCAACAAAGTTATTTTCAGCAAACGTATTTTATCGCTCAAAGCAGGCCAGTTCTTCCACAGTCAGTGGGAATTACAACGCTTTCGCTCACCCTCCTCAGTTTGGTTGCACGATCGAACAAGGAGGCGGCCGAGTCTGCACTTACTGACGCCAGAGGGAGTAATCTGAGTGGGCAGTCACACGCCTGCTTCATGCTTGAGACTAAGATTTGCTAATCACCATCGCGGTTGGTTAGCCAAAGTCAAGTTTGTTTGACGTCTTGGTGATAGCTATTACAGGACTGTTCCTTAGAAGTAAGATGCTGGGGTACTAGGTGAAAAGGTAGAGCGCTCGCTTGACATGCGAGAGGTACTGGGATAATCCTCCAGGAACTCGCACTCACTTTGTCTCTACCTTCTAGGCCGTAACTGGCATTTCGTGTATCTGTGGTTCAGCAGTAGAACGCTTACCGATCATGCATGTGGCCCAGGGTTCAATCGCTGGCCGACGCGTTCCTAAACCTCGCTGAGCTGGTAGTTAGGTCGGTCAAAGGGGAAGGTTGAGCGTGAGGCTATCAACCTCATCAAGTAAAAATAAAAACAACCACCGCCTTACTTCAAGCCTGTAGCCTGAATCCCTATGTTCCACTAGAAACGTAAAGGAATAAAATAATTTTTCAAATATATGAATGCATTTTACCAAGTATTTTAATACGTTTAACTACGAACAGTATCTAGAAAATAGTTTTATTAAAGTTACCCACTAGATATACCTAACATACATGATCTCTGAAGAATTTTTCCTTTAGTCTGATTTTACGTTCTCTTTTTCGTTCATTAATAAATAAAAATGACATTTCTATGTCCTTTATATTCTGTGCAATTAACAGTATACAGTAAATGTCTTAATTTGTTTTAGGTTTGATCACGGATTGATTGATGTCAGTTAGAGAACTATTGAAAACCAGCACTGGAGTCCTAGGCAGCTGTGGTTCATCCTCATTTGATACTCATCGGCAGTACGTAAGCTTGCTAGACTGATGAAGTGGTTCCGGGAAGATAACCAGTTCCACAGCAAATCTACAAAGAACTCTATTTGACACACAGTAATCAGGATATAATAAGTAGTTCTGTACCATCTCATAGATTAGGATTCCATAACAACTGAAGAATGACGTTCCAATCAGTCGCAGAAAAGATAATTAGATTGTGTAACATAAATATAAAAAATGAATCACTGACAGTGGTGCACCTTTTGTCAGCACTGAAAATTCAAACAAGAGTTTTAACCTAAATATGAAATAAATTGGCATGAACATTCCTGGGACAACCACTGCCTCTATCAAATTCTGACTTTTACTTAGGTTGATGACTAAAGTGTCATTAAAATCCTTACCTCATATGAGGTTATTTAGAAAATTAGTTCAAACTCAAGATTATCATTGATATAAGTATAAAACTTGGGCACCGTGGTAGAGTATAACTCCATTACGGATAAGATTTTATTTTGATAAAGTCACACAGTGTTATACAGTAATGTTCACTGATGAACACGTTTCGAGTACAAATTATTACTGCCACTCATAATCATATCAGGTCACTCACACAACCTTTTCCTTCATTTATATACGTGTGTGGAATTGACCAGATAATTGAATAAAAATCAATATGTGATCATGTACATTCGGAAATAATAATATGAATGTTATTCATCAAATAAAATCAGATGGGAAATAAGACGAGTGTTTTCATAGTCATAAAGAGTAACTTGTTAGAATGTTGTGATGTGTTTGAGTTGAAATAGAATTTTGACATTATTTTTTGCCCTCCTCTGATTTGCCTGACCGGTGGTGATCATATCTCCCATATCTCTGATATCTTCATTGAGTCATTTCTGTTGCATGTGTTTGGTGTAGACTCAATGAAACGGGATTGAGTAATCAAGTTCTCTCCCTCTCTCCACCTATCTAGATTACTTTTTAGAATTTTAATCCTCTCCCACCCTATTGTGTGACTGTGTGTTAATGCATTCAATGCAATCGCTGAGTATTTTTCTAAATTACTCATATCCTCGGGGTCAACCATTCTAACCTTAGCTAAATTTTTATGTTCTGACAGGCAATCCTACTTCTCCTGATCTACTAGTTTGACTGACCTATATAGTTGACCTCACAGTCATTCTAGGGTATTTCATAAATTATATTATTTTGTTTAATCGGGTCCACCGAGTCTTTTAGCCCACAGAGCTTGTCCTACCTGAGTGAGTTTATAGGTTTAAGTGCCACCCTAATTCCTGCTTTATTGAGAATCCTACGTAGGGTTTCAGATGTCCCATCCTTATATTGCATAACAGTTAATTAACACCGCTGTGTGATTTTTATCAAAATAAAATCTTATCTATAATGAAGTCATGATAACCATGCCTGAATATATACGTTTCACAAACTTTTCAAGCGATAAAATCGTCTAAATATTCTAATTTTAAAGTAGTTACTTACGTTCTATCGTATCTTTCGCTAAATCACCTTTCTTATTTGTTATCCTCTCCTGGTGTTTACATTCACTATTCTTTTCAAGCACTTCATTTGGATCTAAACCAGCATCTCGTACACATGAATCGAATTTTGCCTCGGCACGTTTACGAGCTATTATTTGATTTTGTCGTGTTATCAGTAATGGTTTTGATGCGACACGTTCATGAATAGCGTTCAATTCACGTTTGTATTCAGCTTGACGTGCTAAATCCTGTTGACTAAAAATAAAATATTGTAAAACAAAATAATAGAAAATTTCACTATGGCGAAAATATTCATTAAGACATCTAGAAAAGATGAAAAAATTGAGCAAATTATCCTTTTCGATCATTTCCGCTTCTGGATCTACAATTATATATTTATATTATTAAATATTATTATATTATATGTATTATTATATATTATATTATATTATTATATTAATATTATATATTATTTTTGTTTACTATAGATTTGTTAAATAAGATTAATGGAACTACAGTTCACTAAAGATGCATAAATTATAATGAGTAAGCCAAAAATTGTAGACAACTATTTACGTCAGTGCTACGTCCCAAATCTGGGTCATGAGAAAAAACACTATAACAAAGCTTAACCTTGAGAAAATCAGCAACCAATCACAGCACACTTAATGTGTGCAAATACGATTCGCAAATGCATGGCTTAACTTTATAAGAAACGCTCACAGGTAGTACAAAATAACCCTCAGCAAGAAAAGGACCAATCAGAAGATGTTGCTTCTCCGATGACAATAATATACATAAAAATCTATAAATATTTCTTGATTTTCCCAGTAAACGATCGTTACAACTGTAGACTACTTCGAATAACAAAGTTAATTATGTCCAAACCAAAATCAAATAATATATGTGTAAAACTTGGGCATTGTGGCAGTAAGTAATTCCATATTAGTTTGTTTATTAGATGTATCATATGGTGGAAAAACAGTATTATTTACTGGATGACAAAGTTTTGAACACAATGTATTCTTCATAATCGTTCACATCGATTATAATCACACGATTTCGAAACTTGAGGTTTATAGTTTCCTTTATTCTTTCCTATTTGTCTTAGAAGTGGTAGTAGAATTTCCCAGATGTCCACTTGGACAGGTGTTCAAACATTCCGATTACACATGTTCGTAGTTGATTTGATAAACAAAACTAGGTGGCACCAAGGAAAATCTAAGACAGGAAGTGAGGCATATAAGAGAAGCTTTGAAACTTAATAATTACCCTGATAAATGAATCAGGAAGTATGTAGGGGAATGAAAAACAAAATAGTAATAGTAGTGATAGTGATAATGATAATAATAATAATGACAACAGGCATGTCAAACATGCACAGGATAATGACAACACCAACAATAAGGAATCTAAATGACCAGTAGTAATTCCATACAAAGAAGGAACCTCGGAGACCTTACGCAAAATTCTTAACAGGGCAGGAATAAAAGTGGCAGTCAAACCCACAAACTTAATTAGAAACAAGATTTTTTAGTTTATCTAATACCCTGCTGGAATGATTATCAGGTCAAAAACATAAGTTAAAGTAGTAGAACGGGGTTAGTCAGTCAGTCAGTCAGACTATCAGAGCACAAAAACTTAGAAAAATCTAGATTAGTTGACACGAATAAGATAAGAAATCTGGGGGATAGTTCAGCTGTACCAGTCACTACATGCAATTACACACAACCATACAATGGGATACAATAAGATGACAGTTTTAAGATCTTATGTCACAGGGTGGAGGGAAAGACTGATTACAACGGAAGCTTTGTTTATCGAATCGTCTGCAAACACGTGTAATAGGAATGATTCAACACCTCTTCACCAATATATCTGGAAAATTCTACTACCCTAATGACGCCAGATAGGAGAGAACAAAGAAAACTATAAAACTCAAGTTTCGAAATCATGTGATTATAATTGACGTGGTATGATTATGAACAATCATAAATTGTGTTCGAAGCGACATCCAACAAAATCAAATAAACTAATCAGTAACTACTCAAACACATCTTATTTGAGCCGAAATTACCTTTCGCAATCACCGATCTTGAATATTCACTCTTTCTTACTCCTTTACTCTTTGAGCGGAATATAAGGCCTCAGCCTAGAGCTTTGAGATTTCAAAGGCAGTGTTTTTTTTATGGAATGGGACTTGCTAGCCTCATGCCTAGACTTCCCTGGCCAGGCAAAGTGAAAGATTTAGACGGCCAGGGATCGAGTCCCAAACCTAGTGAGGCGCGGTTCTACCGCCGAACCACCGACGTACTGAATGTCCACCACAATGACATTTATTAAAGAGATGAGTCTCCAAAAGCGTTATTATAATAGTTGATTGTCTTATTGTGCGTCGGTGGTATAGCGGTTAGAACGCTCGCCGACCATGCACATGGTCCGGGGTTCGATCCCCGGCCGACGCACACCTTTACCTCTCTAAGCCAGAAATAATTCTGGTAAAGAGTAAAGAGTAAAAAGGGCATGAGGCTAGCAACCCCATCCTGTAAAATAAACTCTACTACAGAAACTTCAAGCTACTAGCTCGAAGCCCTATGTTCCACTGGGGAACGTGAAGGAAAAATATAAAAAAGTATAAAATATATATATATATATCTTATTTTAAAAAGGCACAGTGCCAATAAAATTCAATTTATAGACATTTTTATCCTCAATACTTACATCAATTGACGTTTACGTTCTTCTGTGATAGAGTCTATGATCTTTTTAGGCGATATAATCTGTCCACCTAGTGTCTCTTTCATTGTATTCGATACCTCTTTTAGCTTTAGTCTTTTTAAATGTTCTGTTTCCTCTTTCTTTTTTGCATCTAAATCTGCTTTTGCTAAGGAATTTCTGCATATATGAAATGGAAAAGAAAATAAGACAAAATAAGATAATCAGTAGTGTTGTAACAACAGAAGACAAGGGTGAAGCAACAGATCGTTTTATCATGAAAATCAACACGTATTTATATATATTTCACATACATTATTATAGCTTATGCACGTAGAAAAGCGCAGTCATCTGATTGGTTGCAGACAAACGCAGGCTTCTGATTGGTTGTTTCGGGATTCCTTGACAAATAGAGTTCTCTATCTGCGAATCATATTTTGCCACGTTAACTTTGCTGTGATTGGTTGTTGAATCAGCCTTGTTCATATTTTCTCACGGCCCATATTAGTGACCTAGACATTAACGTAGATTAGTGTCAACCAATCGGCTAGCAGCCTGCTCTCACCACAGTGTATTAATATTACTTATTAGCAATAAGATCAAAACATTTGCGAAAATTCCCACTGAAAACAACCCAATCTGTAAGAATATTTAAGTTTGTCAACGGTCTCAAATACAAGATCAGTTACTTTTGTATGTGATAAAATTATTGATAAAATTGTATTTATTCTCTAAGGTTAACCATAAAGTCAGGTTGCAGACTTTCATCAACAGCTGCCACCTTCGCTGGCTCCATACTGAGAATCAAGTGCCCAGAAAGAATTGATAACAAGAAACTCTAAGAATGAATCAACCGAGAGTGGATTGCTCAGCAAATATGTTGAAGAATGACATCGCGCCCAATGTGAGCTATCGCTAGAGTGGAATCCCAATGGGAAGCGATGAGTGGGTCGTTGGTGTGAGAGTGACATAAAGGAGATCGTTTGAAGAAGAGAAGATGAGAGATTATGGGCAATCATTGGACCAGCTGAAGAGTAACTTAGAGGATAGGACAAAGTGGGTAGGTGTGTTGTTGAAGGCCTATGTTCCACTCGGAACCCAAGAGAATAATAATAACTATAATAAAGTCAGTAACACACTGTATGATGCTTTATTTTCTGAACAATAAGCCGACAAAAAGAAGTAAAGCCGGATGGGAGAAATATTTTTGTGAAGGTTATTCTGTTTTTACGAGTTGATCACGGATTGGTAACAGTTAGAGAACCATTGAAAACCAGCACTGGAATACTGGACAGCTGTTTCCTCCGTCCTAGTTTGGGAATCATTGGCAGTAGGCACCTACTGCCAGGGTTCGAACCCAAGACCTTCCGGTTACAAGCCAAGCTATAGAGTTATAGAAAATTAAGCTGATGCTCGCTAGTCACTTGTTACAGAACAGAGTTTCTTGGAACTCGAGTAAGAATTTGTGACCAGTGAGGTCCATCCAGTCGACTGTGAGGATGGAGTTCTCGCCGATGATAGTGGTTTGTGGTCGCACTAAATCACAAATTTTTAGAAGTCGAAATTCATGTGCTGGCCATTCAATCTGGTCCCAGTGGTTGCTCAATGATATAGGGGCTTGCCGTGTAACCGAAAGGTCCTGGGTTCGACCCCTGGTGGTAGGTGCTTACTGCCGATGATTTCTAAACTAGGATGAAACAGCAGCTGTCCAGTACTCCAGTGCTGGTTTTCAATGGTTCTCTAACTGATATCAATCCGTGATCAACTCGTAAAAACAAAACTAATCCTCACAAACCAACTGTAGGAAAGTTATTCTGCACTAGGAATGTGTACACCTTGTATGCAACACATTCTAGTGTCTGTTTACATGTTATTTCATTATATTTAAAGCTATCAGCAATATTACTCTTTTCTTACATGTGGTCAGTTTGTCCAGTGTATCCTAAAACTTTTGATTACTTATTCAACTTCTTGACTTGAAAATACTCAGTTGGTATTCAATAGTCATAAATTTCGAGCTTCCATTCACTTAATATTCGCGGTGATTTTACTTCATTGTCTCTAATGTGTTTCTCATCTCTTTCAATCCAAACATCCCTACAGACAGACTGTGAATTCTCATCTGAACTTGAAGAGACATTTCCAGTCCTGGTGTGGTGAGAGCTGTCGGCTAGCTAAAATTGTAGACAACAATTTACGTCAATGTTCACGTCCCCAAATTGAGGGTCATGAGAAGAAGCAATAACAAAGGTTAACCTTGGGAAAATTACCAACCAATCAATGCACGCTTAACGTGTGCAAATACGATTCGCAGATATATGGTTTGAATTTCTAAGAAACGGCCACAAAGACATGACAGAATTACCTTCAGAAGGAAAATAACCAATCAGAAGACTCTTCTTCTCCACTGACAATAATGTACGTGAAAATCTATAAATATCTCTTGATTTTCTCAATAAACGATCTGTTGTTGTCTAGTACTCCCACATTTTCCAATGGTTTTCTAACCGACATCAGCTCATTATGAAATCCTGTAACCAATCAGTCAAATCCACACAAACCGATACTTGAAGAACAAAAGTAAGTTAGTGAATGAAATAACGTTTGTTTTCGAAAGATAAAGAATACAAACATCTCAAAACACTGAGTAATATATTTGCAGCACATTGAATAATCCTGGGTCATACGATTAGGCGCCTGTTACTACTGATCCCTAACACTTTTGTGAACCCAGCCAAGTGACCGACATCTTCCAAAATGGTTTAGATCAGAAACCATTGACTGTGTAGATTGGTGCCACGTTTTTACGTAATTAACACTAATCTTTTATAAACTTAATCTGACTTTAAGTGACACTGCGAGTAGACGGTGGCGTCTTGAACATGGGTCCCGGTCACATTATGTAGTAAAATCTCACGATCTGATTGCTTAACATACCTTCATTATTTAACACTTTGTGCCTAATCTCAGCATTATACGCTAAGAAACTGGCCACAGTCAAAAATCTGTTATGTCTTTAATGTCTCACGGTCGAATATTCCGTCATAGAGAAAACTAAAAGACAGTTGCAACAAAGAAGACAAGTTTTCTTTTCGATGAAGTTATCAGTAAGACTGTACATTCGTGAGTATATAACAGGGGTGAGAAATGTTTCGAACTATTTTCGGTGAGAAGTCAAAATATAGGGAAATACAAAATGAAGTTACAGAACAGACGGTTCTGATAAAGAAACCATCTTCTTCAGAGAACAGGCTGTTTATAATGACTATTTTGAAATCGTTTTGATAAATAAAGAAGCTGTACTGATGGCAGGCACTATATTACATACTGTGTACATCTGGGATATTAATGAACAATCCTCATCCAGACATTAATGAAAACAAAACACGTAGTTCAACGAAGAGTCACTTTTCGGCGAATTCATTCGCTTAGCTGTACAATCGCATTTATATACAAATATTTTTGTATACATTGACTTTATCAGACAAGAATAAAAGTTAGTTGAGGTTATTGTTATCAAGACATTTCAAAAATGTGATGAATAATCACATTGTAACTTGTGGCGGTGGGTGGAGGCGGGGATGAAGATTGATTAGACAGTAGTACTGATATGTTGTCAAAAAAACTTACTAACACATAAAAGAAGTTGAATAAGCGTAATTCAGTTACGTAACAAGACGATGAATAGTTACACTGGTAATGTAATGTAATAAATACTTGTTTATAAAATTTGAATCAGTTTGTTTTATATAATAAATTCTTTATGCACATTCGTTCATAACATAAGCTTTCCATAAAACATAACTGTGCAGGAAAAATTTCTGCATCAAAATACAAGCTACATCTACCTTTTTTTATGCCAACCGATGCTAAAGAGTGCTGTCTACCCACAACACAGTCACGAATATAAAGTGTACAAATTTCACCAAAGTTTTTAAGAAACGTTATTTATGGTTGCTATGGTTACGGTGAACGAAGCTTGTTAGTAAATATAACTAGGCGGCACTGTACATTTAAGAATATATGGATATGCAAATTGCATACCATTAATCTGCATTAACAAAATCAATAAACGTTAGCGTTTGTAGTGCTCATGGATCAAATGTGTATATTAAACTTACAATTTCGACTATTAGGCAGCATTAGCTAGTCATATAATGGTGAACAACACAACTGGCTAAGAATACGAACTCAATTGTTTAATGAAGTCCATCGAAAGTGTTCTTAATGACATCAACTAATCCACTCATTATTATTTTCACATAGTCACTTTTTATATGGTTACACAAACAATCTTAATAAAGTGAAAGGGAGTTTTTTTTTCACGTTTTTGACAAATCGCTGTTTTGTTGTGTTATTCACTTCAAGAACATTTAAAAAAAACTTTAACTTGACTTTTGTCTGTTAAGTTTTGATTTTAACCACTTATATAGTCTATATTGGGTAAATTGTCTTGGCTGTTTCCAGTAGAAGTTCATTATGTCAAAAGTACCACATAAATGTAATAGGGCGGAGTGTTACTTTTTGGTAGATGATGGAATACAGTGTAATAACTGTGAAAAATGGTATCATAAGATGTGTACTGGATTACGTCCAGCTGCATACAAACGCTGTACTGCTCCAACATCCCACTGGATGTGCAGAATGTGTTGCTCCCCAAAGATGACCTTAATAAGGGAGGCTCACGAACTGCTGTCTAAAGCCATGGAACTTCCTGATGATAGCGTGGCTAGTAAGAGTGACACGGACTGCCCGTCTGAAGATGAAGCAGTAAGTGCCATCATGAATGTTATCACACCGGCGGTTACTATCCCAGTTACCCCGGAAGTAAAACCTACTAGGCGTTCGAAGCGTCTTAGTAAGCGAAAAGGTAACAAAACGGAAGCTGTAAACAGCACCTCAGAACCAGAGAACACCGTAAGCGAAGTTCACCATGAAGGTGGCGCAGACACTGATCTTGATTGTACCATCAAAAACTGCAGCAGCCCTGAGAAGCAACTGCAGGCAGATGATAAATGGGTAACAAAAATAAGCAGTCGGAAGAAATATAGTAATATTGATGGTAGGCAAACGTCTGTCACCTGTAGCCAGGCTGCATCAATAGTGGTGAGAAAGGACGTAGCCACTGCTAAATACGACAAGCTCTCCTTAGACTCTAACATAATTGTTGGAAATTTGGA